GCCCTGCTGGCCACGCTGCTTTGGATGCAGCCCAGGATACGGTTGGCCTTCTGGGCTGCGAGCGCACATTGCTGGCTCATGTCCAGCTTTTCATCCACCAGTACCCCCAAGTCCTTCTCGGCAGGGCTGCTCTCAATCCCTTCATCCCCCAATCTGTATTGATACCGGGGATTGCCCCGACCCAGGTGCAGAACCTTGCACTTGGCCTTGTTGAGCTTCATGAGATTCGCATGGGCCCACTCCTCCAGCCTGTCCAGGTCCCTCTGGATGGCATCCCTTCCCTCAGGGGGATCAACCGCACCACTCAGCTTAGTGTCATCTGCAAACTTGCTGAGGGCGCACTCAATCCCACCATCCGTGTTCTCCTTCTTGGAAGTCACGGTCATGAGACTGGTGTAACGAGAAGCTTGCAGGCAGGAGGAGGCAGAATGTCCAACATTGGGGTGGTTTGAGGTGGTTTTAATGATTTATTCAGCTGGTTTGTATGGGTGGCCTCTCCACCATGTGGGGACACACATAGAGGGGACAGAGCGCAGCATGGTCCCCAGCACCGGCATGAGCTGGTGCGTGTGACAAAAATAAGGTGCCCATCCCCATAATCTCCTACAGCTGGTGGAGGTCAATGGCTCCCCATGCCTGAAACTCACAGAAGACGAGGAGAAGATGACGATCCCAGGGAGTAAGACAATCTATCGGCTCTATGACGCTGCTGGTGAGTTGGGACACCCTGGCCATGGTGCTGCCCTGTTGACCCGTGTTCCCCTCCTGCTCCAGAACTCTGTCCCCGGTGTCCTGCTGGCCCCCCTAACCTGGCATCCCTGCAGGTCACCCCTTCATGGACCTCATGGCCCTGGAGGAGGAACCCTCACCCAGTGCGGGGCAGGAGCTGGTGGTCCATGTCCTGGGGAGGCTTGGCGAGGCCAGCAAGGTCGTGCCCACCACCGTGGAGCCCCTCCATCGCACGTACTTCAGAGATGGCCAGGTCAGGGGCGGCTCTGCCTTCTGGTGCTGGGGTGTCCTCCTCACCATGTTGGGTGAAGGACCGAGCCAGGGTGGTGGTGTCTTGGCAGTAATGGCAGAATCAAAGGGTTAAACCCCAGCGTTTCCTTCCATCGGAGATGTCCCCTGTCACAACAACCCAGGTGCCACCCTGGACATGGTGGCATCAGAGTCCAGCCTGGAGCTGACTCGTTGGGGATTGGGGCTGGATAGCCAGCACCCCACACGAAGATGGTCGTGCATCTCCATCCCACAGATGTGTGAGCCGCTGCCCGGCCTGCCGGAGGTGAAGAGCCACGCGCAGGCATCCCTCAGCCTGCTCAACCCTGCTCACCGACGCCTTCATGAACCACAGCCCTACCCGGTATGTCCGCCACTTGCCGGGCACCATCGGTACACACTCAGGTCCCGGTGGCCTGAGCATACCAGCGTGGCTCCACCGCGGAGCTGCAGTGGTGCATGGATCTGGGGCTGCAGTCCCCTCTGGGGAGTGCATGCTCACTGTCCCCTCTCGCTCCCGTGCCAGGTGGCCGTGTCGGAGAGGCTGCACCGCCTCCTCGCCGAGCTGCGGCAGGCCAGCCAGTGAGCGGGTCCCCGCTCGCCCCCCACCCTGTGCCAGCCCATGCCAGGCACAGCCCCTGCCTGGGGCCGGCTCTTCCTCCGCGCTCTTTTGAAGACCAGGTGACTAATTGGGAATTAATGGTTCTAATAACGTTGCTGCTGTGTGGTGCTGATCCAAGGACCCCGCAGGAACGGGAAGTGCTCCCTGGGGTCGCAGTAGCAAAGCTGGGCACAGAGGGATGGGGCAAGCAGAGCTGGGAGGCAGCTGCCCCCGTGTCCTCTGGAAGTGACGGTCCTTCCCTGTCCGCCTTGGTGGCCCTGCCAGCCCTGCACCTTCTGCCATGGCAGTCCTGCTTTGGTGGTCCTGCCAAACCCTGCGGCTGCACTGCCTGCCTCAGTGGCCTTACCAGCCCTGTACCTTCAGTGGTGGCAGCCCATGCTGAAGCTCCTCAGTGGCACTAGAGACCAAGCCGTGAGTGCACAGGAAGGGGTCCACTACGGGAAGGGCCAGCCCGTCCCCCAACCCCCTGTCCTGTGGGACACCTGTGGCAGATGTACTTTGCGCTCCCTATTCTAGGCTTTGGCTCTGTGGCCGCATTTGTATCTCTTTTCATTTTGTATGCAATTCCCTGGGGGGGTGGAGGCCAGCTCCAGGTTGACGCCTGCACTCTCTAACCTGCTGTTCACAGAGGAAGCGTGGCACTAATCCCCGCCGTTAACTTCATCTTAAGCAAAAAAACTAAAATAAAGGCCTTTACCCACAACGGCTACGGCCACACAGCGTGGCTGCCCTGGTCCTTCAAAACACTTGTTGCCTTCAGCTTGAATGTTTAATTCGACGTCCTTCACTTCATGGTTTATGACTGAAGAAAGTTGGAATGAAAAAGCAAGTGCTGACCCATGAGAGCACCTGGGAGTGGCCCCAGCAGGTGCCTCACAGCCCATTTGTGGCATTCTATGACCCTAATTCCAGCACAAACCCCTTTGTAGCTCCACTGGGGGTAGGTCTTGTGCCCAGGCAGTGACTGTTTCAAGGCTTTATCAAAACAGGGACATGAAAAGTTGTTGCACAGAAAGGAAAAAAATCCACGCCTATTTTCTGTAATCCTGCCCAAATCGGTAACAGGGAGATAGTAAATCCTTTCCCCTGAGCTTGTAAAATGTACAGACCCAGAATTGAGCCACCCAGTGAGGCAGGGCAAGAGGGAAATCCCCAGCGAGATGCACCTGCACATCCCCAGGCACCAACCCTCTGCCTGCGTTGCACACCCTCCGGGGAACAGCCACCGTTTAGATCTTTGCAGCACATGTTGAAGAAAAAAAAAATGACAAGAGCTTAACGCACAAGGCCCGATGGTCTCTTGTTTCTAAAAAACCCAACATGCTGGACCACCCTGTTGCAATGCTCCAGCTGTGGGCACTGTGTCACACTTAGCATTTTAAGAGGGGGAAAAAACCTCCAGGAAAACCAAGAGCAAGTTGCTATTAAAGCTTATTTTTTTTTTTTTAAGAGCAGAAGCACCAGAGATATAAGAGCCCAAACCCCGCAGCGTACCTGAATAGAGATTGTCCTGAGTTCTTAGTAGAGGAGTGAAGAGCAACTTTTAAGTAGGCAAAAAGAGCAGTATCCCCCAGCCCCTCAGCCCTCTCCATGGCCAGAGGATCAGCCAGAGGTCAGCGAGTCAGTTCACACGCAGGAGCAGGGTAAACCCAGCCTCAGGCTGATCCCTTGCTAGATCTGCCACCATCTCTCCTACCCCTAAACAGACTCTTCAACCGCTGGTGCTTTGGCTTTGCCTAGGACCATTTTGAGTATCTCCAAGGATGGCGACTCCCCCACCTCTCTGGGCAACCTGTGCCAGGGCTTGTCACCCTCACGGTGAAGAAGTGTTTCTTCACCGTGAAGTGAAGCGTGGTCAATACACCGTGAAGTGTTTCTTCAGAGGGAACCTCCCGTGTTTCAGTTTGTGCCCGTGGCCTCTGGTCCTGGCACTGGGCACCATGGAGAAGATCCTGGCACCATCCTCTTTGCACCCTCCCTTCAGGTGTTTATAGACATTGATAAGGTGGCCCCTGAGCCTTCTCTTCTCCAGGCTGAACAGTCCCAGCTCTCTCAGCCTTTCCTCCCAGGAGAGATGCTCCAGTCCCTTCATCATCTTCGTGGCCCTTTGTTGGATTCTCTTTGTCTCTCTTGTATGGGGGGAAGCTCAAAACCAGATCCAGTACTCCAGGTGTGGCCTTACCAGTGCTGAGCAGACGGCAAGGATCCCCTCCCTTGCCCTGCTGACACCACTTTGAATGCAGCCCAGGACATTGTTCACCTTCTCTACCACGAGGACACATTGCTGCCTTGCAGTCAACTTGGTGTTGAGGTCCCAGTGCTCAGCAAGGACAGCTGGAAGCTGAATTGATATTAACTGTGTGTTAACAATCTGGGTTCATTACACACCAACCGTCCTTTGTAGCCACCACATACAGAAACAAGACACACCAGAAAGCCGATACAGCCATCAAGCTGTTGAGGTCCCACCAAAAAAGATCTAAACCACCTGTATCGCGTGGCCCAAGCCAACAGGACCAATACGAAGCTACAGGCTGCACATCACGATTACTGCACCCTGCGTTAAAGAGGAAAAAAAGAGGAGGAGGGAGATTACAGCTGCACATCTGGGGCTCCTGGATTCATCCCTCAAGGTTTTGGTGCCCTGTCAGTGCAATCTGGAATCTGGGCAACCCAGTTCATAGCACTGACTCCCGTAACAGTTTCCCACTGCCATGACAGCATGTGCTTAATGGCAGAGAACCCCCAGTTTGCAAATTTAAGTTATTTAACTTAAGGAGTACCAGTTCCCACCCAGAGACCCTGAACCTTACTGCAGTCACAGCAGAAAATCCAAGAGTGCTCATTTTTTCCTTTTTTGCCGTTGGAATTCTGCTGTTGGTCTTTGGCACAGATCTCAAAAGTGGATGCAAAGATGGGACAGAAGGTGCTAAAAGTGAGGTCAAAACACCCGATCATGTAGCAATAGCGCAGACTTTGCAAAAAAGAGGAAGCATAACGAGCTCACATGCTGTTCCTCTGCTCCATCTTTCTTCCAGTTTTGTTCTTACAAAAATACATATTTTTAAAGCGTATTTGCAGCTCAAGACATCCAATTAATCTCGTGGTTGAAAATAAGGGATGGTGGGTAAAAGTGCCAGAGTATTAGCGCTGGATAAGGGAAGCGCAGACAATTTGGGGACCCAGCTTTAGGTGTGGGGTCACATCCCAGACCTCAAGAAAAACCCTCGGCCTGTCCCATCTCTTAACCACACCGGTGCAGCTCACACCTCCTGGTTTTCTCACTCCACAAGTCCATGTGAGGAAGTCTTACGCAGGGCGAGGCTGTGGTTTTCTTGTGCAATTTGCAAACCGGAGGATAACTGCTCACGTTTTGATTAGATGCTGGTCCTCAGCTTTGGAGGGAAGGGCTGGCAGGGAGAAGAGGATGTTGGGGAGGACTCTGAGGTAGGGCAGAGCCGTAGAGTGCCTGGGGAGGAAGGAGGGTGGAAAGGCAAGGTAGGAAATGAGAGTGAATTTGAGTGTAAATAATTCAGAGTCCAGGTCTGCCGGAAGTACAAACTATCACTTGGTAAGGCCAGGTACAGGATTTAACAAAGCCAGACAGGCTGACGTGGATAGCTTGATACCAGACACTGGAAGAGGTAAGAGGAGGCAGAAGTGCAAGCTCGGTGTACCCAGACCCGGCTGCTTTCACCGATTACGAGCTGCAGGGTTGATCCAAGCTCACGTTTCCAACGCCTCACTGTTCTGTGGCACCAGGCCAAAGCAGTGTCATTTGTAAAGCGCCATCTTCTTGCTCTGGTACATGTACATGTAGGCGTCGCAGAAGAGGCGCTTGGCCACTCCATCCATGTCCCGGGGTTGCTCCAGGGCCAGCACAGCCAGTGGCAAGTCCAGGTATTTGGCAACTTCAGGGCACAGCGTTACCGTGGGAATGTTGAAGCCGTTTTCATCACCTAACCCAGAAAGAAGGAGAAGAGTCCAAACCAGGTCCCAAGGGACGAGTACCTACAGCTCAAGCAGATACCATCACACTCGACAGTAACGTAGTGCCTTAGCTGAGAGATCGGGAGGCCAGCAACAAAGTGGGGAAGGACAGGAGAACGGTCCTCGCCCACACGCACCCAGTCCCAGCTGGCTTGACAGGTCCCCTGTTTGAACACAGCCAGAGGATGAAAGCACTAGGAGGGGAACTCACACGTGCTTGGCCTGGCCATACTCTTCTCTGGGGTCTGCTTAAATGGTCGCTGTTGGAAGCAGGGTCCAGAGAGAGCCTAAATCGTGTAGGGGGCTTCAGAAGAAAAGCTGGACCGACCAGCGCCTACGCAACGAGCGTTGCAGACCCTTGCAGCTGCCCACCGCGCTGCGCCTGGCTGCGATCAAAGCTCTGAGCCCACCACCATGTCCTCACCATGCCTGTCAGCCATGCTGTCGAAGAACATCCAGTGTTCGTTCTCAGGGCCGTATTTCACAAAGGAGACGTAATGACTGGTCTCGATGCAGAGCACTGCGAAGAGCTCCATCTTCTCGCGAGGGACCTGCTGGCTGCCCCGGGGGCTCCGGCTGTGAAACTCTTCCGGGACGTGCAGCCTAGTTGGCTTGTGCGTTTTGCGTCGGTAGTGGGAGTGAACCTGAGGAGAGATGACGGGGTGGCATTGCTGAGCGGGCAGAACTGAACCTGGCCTGCCAGAAAGAGGAGCGTGCCGGGGTCAGACCCCCAGTTTATTCCCCACTGATCTGACTCCCATGGTCCCTGCATGCCAGGGAATGGCATTGTGTCAACAGGCTGGCAGCAAGAAGCCGAGACGGGAGCCTGCCACCCTCCAAGAAAGGCCAGAAAGCTGTAGGAATGCTCCTGGTGAGACAGCGTGGTCGGCCCAGCACTCAGTCTGTGCAGGATCAGTGCTTATTTAGGCTCCATGTAAGCAGAGGGTTCAATAATGTGTGGCACCTAACCCCGCTCATGCGGCTGATGCAGGCGGTGGGACTGATGCTCAGGAAGGGGCCACTCTGTGCCCAACGTGAATGGCTGCAGGGACAGCAAGGGAAACGCGGGTATTTGGGGGGGGTTCAATCTGCTGTCAGCCACCAAGGCAGATTTCGTGAGCAGCCAAAGAAAATGAATACCTGTCTGGAGCAGGAGCTGCAGAACTGCTTCAGGCCCGTAGCTGCGAATACCTTGTCTTTGAAACACTCCGAACACTCCAGGGTGGCGACGTCGCCGCACACGCAGCACTCCCTGGGACCTGCAGGGGTAACAGGGGTGAGAGGATGTGTATTCTCCAGATCTCCCCTGAAATCCAACTTGTCCTGCCAAAACTGGTGTTCAGGGAAGAAGAATCACACCATGATCCCACCTTACATCTGCTCACAACCCAGAGAGGCGAGACCTGTCACCTGGTTGCTCACAGTCCCAGCCAGCAGCTTTACCATTGCCCAACAACTTACTGTCAAGCAGCAGATCTGTTATATCCAGCTCCAAGGAAGGAATGATTTTACTGAACATTTTATATTCCTTCCCAAAACGTGGCATTTGGATAATGAAGCAAGATGGGATCTGGAAAAAGAAAGGCAAATGAGTCACCCTGCCAGAAGGGACAAGCCTCAGAGACTCTTCTCTCCATATTGCTGCTGGGAGTAAAGACTTTCTGCTCCGGTTATTCACAGGACAAAACGGCAACAGGGAAAGCACAGCCCTCTGCCCAGGTCACGCTCAGACTCCCCAAGACCTCTCTCTTGTGGCTGTATCCTGCTTCTTTGCAGTGTTGGATATAAGACATACTAGACCAACTGCAGACTCACTGGCAGGCGCAGGTACGTTGGAGGAAGCAAGAAAGAGGCAGCAGATAGCAGCGTAGGCGGAAGGTAGCTGGGCTCACCTCCACTAGCTTCAGATCAGAGGACAGGAAGGAGTGTTCCACTAACTGCTGCACGTCGGGAACCACCAGATCCTCCTGTTTGTCCATAAATATCTGGTAACAGTAACAGTCCTGCTCCTTCTGGCCTTCTGACCTGCAAGGAGTGGTCACGGGACTTTATGTTTATGTGGTGCCACAAACATCTGAGCTTGGGACTTGTTTATGTGGTGCCACAAACATCTGAGCTCCCAAAAGACATATCAGTTTTGTCTTGCAAGAGCTTCTGGGCTCAAGGCACCAAGGGCTGCTTGGTGCAACACTGACACGAGCACTTTTTCCACCCAGAAACATTAAATACGTGCCGTGAGAGGAGGATACAAGTACCATCTTCAGTCTCATCATCCCTCCACGGCATCACATCTTGCTCCTACGAGCAAAACTCAGTTTCCCCTCGTCAATGTAAACATTAAAAGACATTTCAATATTTTTTAAAATCAACTGCACTATGGCACAATCAGCAAGCTCCTTCTCAGATGAAAGGTCTATTTATAACTGCACATCCAAAAGCCAGAGAGCAAAACTCAGTGCATTCAAAAGGTAAGTTGCATGCAGAAGATCTCCCACAACCCCTACATCCCTGGGCGAGCAGAGAAAGGATTTCCTTCAGATGACCCTCTGCAGGGGAGCTGCAGTACAGTCGTCTTTGTGCTCAGCCTTTCCGAGTACTCCACAACCTACAGCTTGACTGATGTCTCAACAAAGGAGCACAGCAACCGAACAATCCCCTTCTATGCTCCTGAACAGCACAGTTATTTTTGGCTTCCTTCAGCCTCTCATCCTCTTTGTAGAGTCCTGAAAAACTGGGACTGCATCCACGGACTGCCTGTTTGAGAAGCTGCAGGACCTGAGCCAGCTTGACAGCCTGGACACATCCCAAATGCATCCAAAGGCTGTCGGATACTGCTGGCTCTGCACTGAAGTTGGACACTACGTTTCTCAAACCACTGCTGGCTCTTCCTAAGGATGAGCAAGGTTTTTATCATCAGTTGCTGAAGGTGGCACCTCCAGGGAGAGTTTAGAAGTGTCTTCTCCTGGATGCGTCACCTGGGACAAGATCACAACAAGCAAGATCACACGGAGAGCAGAGAGGAGCTGCGCACAACTCACTGAGCTGTGCCTCGAAAGCCTCGATGAAAAGGTGCAAGCAACACTCGGTGATCGTGAGGTGGATAACTAATGAGCCTGGCCTGGATAAATTGTACGGCTTGGATATGGAAACTTACTGCAGCTTCAAGAGTGGCTCTATTCCCAGGATCTGATGCATGATGAGATTGAGGAACTCCTCAGGATCTGGAAGGTCAGAGAAAAGCATGGGTCACACCACACCAGGAACGCCGCCTTGCCGCACCTCCATCCAGAAGGCAAAAGCTGCCAGATAAACATGAGCCAGCATTTCGTGAACCTGGAATCTCCTCTTTTACTCTAGGTAAGGGGACAATTGGGCTAAAAGCTAAGAGCACTTGGTTAATGCATAAATCCTAGGGTGAGCATGAAAAAAAGCAAACCAGCCCTCAGATACCGCACTCTTACAAGCCAGGCCATCACAGCAACACTATCTCAGAGACCTTAACGGACAGTTACTGCTAACACCAAAAGTATAAACTCAAAGTGAAATCGGGGACAGCTACGGAAATTCAAGAAACTGAACAGTTAAACTATCCCTGGCTAAAATAAATACACAGTAGTACAACACACAAGTGCTGTTCACTGACAAGATACCTGCTGTTTCTGGAAGAATCAATGCCACTTGTTTAGTATCCAGGTACTTAGAGGTTGTTGCAGTGATGTGTGGCATTGGTGTAATCCGTTTCCTTGTTGTAAACTACATGGGGCCTTGCTGTGCATGGATGGGAACGTGGTGATCGCAACCAGAGATTGGTGGGTTTCAGCTGTAGGTGTTTTCTGTCTTATTTTAACCAGACTACAGTCTTTGAGGAATCTCAAATAACTTACCAGAACTCAAAGACAAGTCGGTCTTGGCAAAATGATAAATCAAGCTGGATTCTAGCAGGGACATCAGGGATGGACTTATCAGGGTATAACTCAAAGTATAAAGGACAAGGAAATTTCCCTTGTTTAAGTTCTGTTCACACAGATCTTCCTCTCCCCTCCTGGCAACAGCTGCCACCAGGTAGAGACCCAGCAATTCCTATCTTTGCATCAGACTTCAGGACAAATTTCACTGGAAAAGAGTTTTAAAAGCCGAAAGTATTTTACATGTGCATTTTTACATAAACGAACAGCACAGCAGGCATATTAATACACGTGCCTGGGAGAAGCATACAATTAAGTTGTCAGCCTGGTGCCTGGATGAGGCGGCGCAGAGCGAAGCAGCCCGGGGAAGGCCCCAGAGAACGCATTACCTTTCTCAGCGTTGGTAAAGCTTGAACACTGGCCCTTTTCAGTTAGCTGCTCCCTAAGGTGCATCACACTCCTAGCCCTGACGAAGCCAGTCCTAGAAACAAGAAGCAGCTGCAGACAATCTCGCCAGTGTATTTAAATCATAGAATCATTGAATAGTTTGGGTTGGAAGGGACTTTTAAAGATTACCTAGTCCAACCCCCCTGCCACGGGCAGGGACATCTCCCACTAGATCAGGTTGCTCAGAGCCCTGTCCAACCTGGCCTTGAACAGTTCCAGTGACGGAACATCCACAGCTTCTCTGGGCAACCTGGTCCAGTGTCTCACCACCCTCATCGTAATACATTTCTTCCGTATCTCCAATCTAAAGCTACCCTCTTCCAGTTTAAAACTGTTGCCCCTTGTCCTGTCACTACAGACCTTGGTAAAAAGTCTGTCTCCATCTTTCTTATAAGCCCCCTTTAAATATTGAAAGGCTGCAAGAAGGTCTCCCTGGAGCCTTCTCTTCTCCAGGCTGAAAAACCCCAACTCTCTCAGCCTTTCTCCACAGCAGAGCTGTTCCAGCCCTCGGACCATTTCCGTGTCCCTCCTCTGGACCCGCTCCAACAGGGCCGTGTCTTTCTTGGGCTGAGGACCCCAGAGCTGGACGCAGTGCTCCAGGTGGGGTCTCACCAGAGCACAGTAGAGGGACAGAATCCCCTCCCTCGACCTGCTGGCCACGCTGCTTTGGATGCAGCCCAGGATACGGTTGGCTTTCTGGGCTGCGAGCGCACATTGCCGGCTCATGTCCAACTTCTCATCCCCAAGTCCTTCTCTGCAGGGCTGCTCTCAATCAAATCTCAGCACCACAGAGCGCCCCAGGGTTGTGTTTCTGCAGCCAGTGCCAGGACACTGGTCCTCAAGGAAGATGCTAATGTCTTATGTTGAATCAGCTCTCCGTGCCTCTCTTCCACACCTCTCTAGGGAAGATGAGGAAAGAACCTGGTATCTTTGATACAAATTCCAGAGAATTTAGTTCTCATGCCATGGTCTACCCTCATCCAGCCTGGCATTGCATACTGCCTTTGAGACTAACTGCTGATGAAAGCAATGCCATTGCTTCAACAGCTCCAGGGTACCTCCACAGAGGTGATCTCAACCCCACGAATCCCCCTTTCATCCCTTCACTGAGAACTACAGCTCACAAGGCTTCCTTCTGAGCAGGAGAGACTCATGCACATGCAGTAGGGGTCATGACAGCCTCGCAACCTGGGGAAGGGAACAACTGGAAGAGAAACCTGATATGAAGACCTTCGGACGTGGCTGGCAGGAGAAACCCTCCAGGTAACCCTTTCCCTCAGTGACAGGTACCATCTGGCAGGGCAGCAGAGAAGGTATGAAGGCAGATGGACGACTTCCAGGATTCCCACATACTATACTCACTTTCGAAGGGGATTAACAATCTCATCCCGCAGAATGCTCTGGACATTCCTGTCACACAGTGGGAAGGGCTTGAAGAGCATGGAGTCCAGCGCAGACGTACAGGAGAAGAGGCTGTGAAAAGAGCGTGTGTAAGCCTGATGGGTTTGCAGCAATAGTTAGAACCAAACCGTTGTGCCTGGTGAATTGGTGGCTTTTATTTTCAACAGTCCATGCATGCAATTACAGAAAGGTGAGTGACAGCACGTCTCTGCAGTGAGATAAACCACATCTGGTTTAATGAACACTGGTAGTAAGCAAGGAAACAGCAGAGAGAGAATGAAATCTCATACTTTGCAGCCAAAACTGCTTTGGGGGGGGGGG